AGCGGCGGCGGGAAGGCGTCGGTCGGGGCCATGGGTGGGGGCGTGGGGACCTCGAGCTCCGGGGGTGGCCCCAGCGGCAGCGGCGGAGGAGGCAGCGGCGGCCCCGGCGCGAGCACCAGCTTCCCGCCGCCCGGAGTGAAGCTGGGCCGTGAGTACTGGTAGCGCCCGTGGGAGGTGGAGATTGGGGTTCCGTAGTCCTCAAATGTCGATTAGGTTTTTTCTTATACCCAAATAAGAGCCTAAGTCATTGTGCCTCCCAAAACTGGGGTCTGAGCTCTACCCCTCCCAGAGAAATGGATTTTGGGGTCACCATCACTTGGAGCTTACGACGAGAATTACTAACCTTCAAAGAAACAAGCCACAGTCCCTGTTCTTCCATTACGGATGTCTTGGGTCCTTGAGCCTTAAAAACGGTTCTGATGTTCCTATCCCTTAGAGAACAGGATTTGCGGTCATTGTCCCTTGCAAATGGGGGCTAAGATCATTGTCTTCTAAGAAAACAAGAATAAGATCTTCATCCCCCAAAAAAGGGAGATGTGAATTTGCTGTCCCTCAGAGAATGGGGATCTGGATCCAGCATCATTTAGAAACAGGGATTGGAGGTTACTGTGTCCCAAAGAACAGGGCAAGGGTTTTGTAAGCCTGATAACCAGGTCATTTGCCCTTTTAAAACACCTGGTCTGGCGTCATCACCGGCCCAAAATATGTAGTACTGTACCCGCAACGGTGAAAACTATTGGTTATTGCTTCTTAGAAATAAGGACAGGTGTCACCACCCCCCAGAACAGGGATTGAGAGTCACCATACCTTTCAAATCCGTAGTCACTGTGTTATTTAAAGAACATGAATTGGTGGGTGTTTTTTCTCAAAAAATGGTACGGGGTGGGGGGAACAGTCCTCCATAGAATATGGATCAGAAGTCATAATTCTCTTAATGATTGTTCAGGGGTGTCATTGACTCTGAAAAAAGTGATGTAGGATCATCTTCCTCCAAAAGAGAATCAACTGTTACTGGGCCCTCAGTTCTCAAAAGAAAAGGGGTCACTATTCCCTAAGAATGGCTCCAAAGTTCGCCACTCTTCAGAGAATGGGAACTGGGAATGATAGCCTTTCTTTAAAGAACTGAGGCTGGGATAGCCTCCTAATAACAGAGATTAAGTTCACCATTCTCACAATTTGGTGCTTGTCTGTCAGGTAGGAGTCTGGGGCTCTGGACTACCCAGATGAGGAGGTCAGGTCAGTGCCTTTCCTAATCCTAAAGTATTTGGGTAAGGGGTATCTCCTCCAAAAGTGAGGGTCAGGGTACTACTGCTCATAGCAGGAGAGGTCATTCATTTCTGTCACCAAGAACCAGTGGTGAAGTTACCGACTCCGCCAGGGAGGACTTAAGAGATCACTAGCCCCCAAGGTGTGAGCACACAAAAGTTATTGCTTTCCCAAAGTAGGAGTACCTCAGGGTTACTGTTCCCTTAAGCAGAAGAGGTCAGAGGTCAGAGTTTAGTAAACCCAGAGTAGATGGATTCAACCAAGAGGGACCAGTCATTTGTTGTTGCCTAGAAGTGAAAATTACGGATTACCAACCCTTAAACAGCGAAGAGATTGAGGTGTCAGTATCCTCTGCTATGGAAGGAGGCAGGATTTAGGGCTTCACTGGGAGGGTTCCAGCATCCACCTTTCCTCAAGGAGGGGGAAGGGACAGAGAGGCCCCCTCCTCCCCACAGCCCTGGGATGGGATGGTCGCCAGAGGGGAAATGTCAGTGGATCATGTGTCCCCTTTGTCCCCCAGGTGACAGCGGGAAAGTGACCACAGTGGTAGCCACCCTAGGCCAGGGCCCAGAGCGCTCCCAAGAGGTGGCTTACACAGACATCAAGGTGATTGGCAATGGCTCTTTTGGGGTCGTGTACCAGGCACGGCTGGCCGAGACTGGGGAGCTGGTGGCCATCAAGAAGGTTCTCCAGGACAAGAGGTTCAAGGTACCTTGTAGGGGGATGGGGAAGAGGAGATGTGGGCATTGGGCATAACCTGGTGAGAGAGCCCTAGCAAGAGAGCTGGAGCCTGGGGTTTCAGAGGGATCTGATCATGGCTCAGAGGAGAAAGGCGTAAAGAAGGGAATGAGTTGTAGGGGAGATGGGAAGTGTAGAATCTCGGAGATCCCAGAGCTGACATGCATTGAGCGTTTGTTCTGTGTAAGTGCATTATAAGGTTTCTGGGTGGTGCAAACCCACCCAAGCAGCACCTCAGAAAGAGGCCTGACAATCTGCTTCCCTAAAGATTATAGCCGAGAAAACCCTGTGGAGCTCAGTTCTACTTTGTAACACACGTAATATATGCCTCATAGGTAAGCTTTCAGCTAGTTTACTTATTAATTTTCTAAGGGTTGGCACTGTTATTATTCCCATTCTAAGTAAGCAGAGACTGAGAGATAAGCGAATTGCATAGTAAGTGTCTAAGTCAAGATTGGAGTCTGGCCTGTCTGATTGCCAGGCCTGGCACCTTAATTTTTTAGCTACACTTCTTCTCAGAGGAGAAACGACACTGGCGTGGCCATGGAGGTCCACTCTGCTCCAGGTGCTAGGCGAGTGTGCCCTGGACTAACCAAACCGTGCACTTGCTGGCGTGCACCGTTTTCTCATTCATTCAAAGGTGCCCAGTGAGCTAGTGGAGGCCCAGGGAACTAGAAGAAGATAAAAGACAAGGAAGTAGAGGAATAACTGGTGTGTGAAGGACTGGCATTTTGGAGCCTCATCTAGTCTGGATGTAGGCTGGAAGGGGAACATGGTCAGGGCCTGGGTCTCTTGGGCAGGGTGTCAACCAGATTTGATAAGAGTTGAGCCCCGAAGTGAGAGAGATATGGAGGCAGGGAGTTCTAAGACCCACAGAGGGGAATAGAGGAAGGGGGAGAATGCAGAGACTGGGCCTTTTGGGAGGAAGCTGAGGCCTGGATCCCCTCTGGGGAGGTGAGGATTGGAAGTCTGAAGTCTGGAACTCAGGATCGAAAAGAGGGTTCAAAGACCCAGACGCCTCCAAAGGACACAATAGGGAGTGGTGGGAACCAGAGTGAGACTGAACAGCTGCTGCTTGTTAACTGTCTCTCTGTGCCATGGAGGGAGGCTGGCCCTGTGTGGCCAGATCTTCTGATTTCTCAAAAGAAGCTGGAAATTTAGGTTTATATGTAGAGTTTTTTGACTTTTAAATGTCAGCAATAAATTGAAAATTTTAAAAAAGTGGCCAAAGAAAACACCTCTGTGGACTGGGTTTGGCCGTCAGGCCTCCAGCTTGTGTGTGAGGGGAGTGAGCTGGGGGTGAGGATTAGGGGATGCCCCAGAGGGGCCTTAGAGCTGGGACAGAGGGAGCAGCTGTTTAGATCTAGTGGCCAGAATGGGGGAGTGGGGCTGTGGTGAGGTGCTGCTAGGGAGGGGAGGCAGAGAGAGTTGGTTGTACTCTGAGGCTCTCTCTGTTTGCCCTCAAGAACCGAGAGCTGCAGATTATGCGTAAGCTGGATCACTGCAATATCGTGAGGCTGAGATACTTTTTCTACTCCAGTGGGGAGAAGGTAAGACCTGGGTAGGGGGGGTGCCCTCCACTTGACTCTACCTATTACCCCGCCTGCCTTTCCCATGACAGCCAGTCCTTCCCTCACTACTCCCCACAGAGTTCCCCTTCACCCCCTGCCCCAGTCTCTTCTCACAATGCCTCATATTTCTTTGCTGTCTGCAGAAAGATGAGCTTTACCTAAATCTGGTGCTGGAATATGTGCCCGAGACGGTGTACCGGGTGGCCCGCCATTTCACCAAGGCCAAGTTGACCATCCCTATCATCTATGTCAAGGTGGGCAGGCAAACAGGTTCTGAGGCTGAGGCCCACAAAGCCAGGGGCTCCGGACCCTCCTGCCTTCTGTGGGTTCCCTTGCCCTCCAAGTTTATGTTGGTCTCTGTAGGCCTCGTCGTCCTTGCCCTTTCCCTTGTACCCATACCCCTCAGAGGTGAAGCCTGCCTAACAGGCCAGGGTGGCCCAACCCAAGGCCTGGCTGAATCAGGGAGGCAGGCTGACCACAAGTCAAAGGAAGTTTCAGAGTACCTGCTTGGGTCCATACTGGGGGCCCAGCGGTGCCAGTGGTGTTGGTGGGGGCCAAGAATGTAGACAGGGAGACACTGAGGTCAGAGTCTAGGCCCTCTAGGCCTTGGCAGAAGGGAATAGGAAGGAAGGTAGGGCTGGAGAAAGGTTCAGTTCCCACAGAGGCTGGAGTGCCTCTTCATCCATCATCTGTGTGGTCTCATTCCCTGGTACTCCAGGTAGTGTTTGAATGAATGAACGAATGAATGAGTGTATGAATGAAGCCCAGGGATGATGAGCTGTGTGGGTGGGTCCAGTTTGCTGGAGGTTTGCATGGAGCCCACCTGCTCCTCCCAGTGGCTCTAAGCACCCTGCACTTGGGTGAGCCGATGTGGGCTCTGCTGTTGGACGTTACCTCCTGGGCAGGGGGTTCTCTGGGTTGGTGAATATGCCCAGGGGCTGCCTGTGTCAGGCCCAGTGCTGAGCAATGCCAGGGGCACAGCTGACCCAGACTCAGGCTGTGCCCTTGGCGCACACTCAGTTTGGTGGGGTAGAAAGGCACCATCACAGGGGACTGTAAATAATGTCTAGCAATCTCCATACTGGAGGGAAGCACAGGGAATTATGGAAACACAGGAAGTATCCACCTGGTTTGGAGATGAGAAGGACCGAGGAGGGCTTCCGGAGGAGACCAGGTGCATGGAGAGGAAACGGCATCTGGCCAAGGGGAACATGAACAAAGGAGGAGGGGCTCGGGAAGCAGCCCGGTGTGGGGTGGAGAAAGAGCAATTATTACATGCCAGGCCCTGTTGTAAGGCCTGATGGATGCAGCACTATTCAAAACACAGAGGTCCCTACTCTCTTGGCAGGTTCCTTCTGGTCAGTGGGAGGGAGAGGGGCAGGAGAATCCAGCTGGAGAGGGGCTGGGTTGTGGGTGGTTTTGACTGAGCCCTTCCTTTAGCCAGTGGGTTTTGGTGAGGGGAACCTGAGTGCCTGGCTCCCCAGCCTGCTTTTTAACAAGACCCTCTTTATTCAACAGATGTCTGCTGACATATGTGATTAAAGCAGTAGTTCTCAAAATGTGGGTTGGGGACCAGCATCAGCATCCACTTCCCCGGAACTTGTTGCAAATGCACGCTCTCAGACCCCACCCTAGATCTGCTGAGTCAGAAACTTTTGGGGTGGGGCCCAGGAGGCCCTACTCTAATAAGCTCTCCAAGTGGTTCTGGTGCCCATTAAAGTTTGAGAACCAAGGGTTTAAAACACGGGTTCCCTGAGGCTGTGGGGCAGCAGGAGGGTTTTAGTCAGGCAGTGTGTGCCAGGAGGGTGGAGCGGTGGCATGCGCTGTGAGGAGAGCTGGGCTGGAGTTCTGCTGTCCCCTGCCTGCTCCAGGTGTACATGTACCAGCTCTTCCGGAGCTTGGCCTACATCCACTCCCAGGGCGTGTGTCACCGCGACATCAAGCCCCAGAACCTGCTGGTGGACCCCGACACCGCTGTCCTAAAGCTCTGCGACTTTGGCAGGTGGGCCTGACCTAGGGTATGCTGGGTGGTTGAAGGGGTGAGGGGGGACCCCGACCCCTTGCCTGTGTTTACCCTTGCCCTTTTTTTCCCATAGTGCAAAACAGCTGGTCCGGGGGGAGCCCAATGTCTCCTACATCTGTTCTCGCTACTACCGGGCCCCAGAGCTCATCTTTGGAGCGACTGATTATACCTCGTCCATCGGTCAGAGTTGTGGGAGGGTGGGGTGGGGGCTGGCAGTCATGGCCGGGTCAGTGTGCTTTCTGTATGCTGTATGCCAAGCTCAGAGATGAGAGCTTAATATCTGTCGTTTTCCTCAGTCCTCACAAACTTGGGAGGCTGATGTTGGTATGTCGTTTACAGATGAGCAATCTAAGGTTTAGAGCAGTGAGACTACCTGCCTGTAGTCACACAGTTGGGTCTTGGCAGGGCTGGGAATTGAAAGCTGACCTGACTCCAGAGTCTACACTGGCTCAGGGTCCTCCCAGTCAGCCCTCTCCTCAGCCAGCAGGAAGTGGCTGGCAGTGACCTTGGGGGAAATTGGGAGGGGAAGGCTTTGCCACCAGCTTCCGTCATGACCTACTCACAGGGCCTGTTGTCTTCCCTGTGGGTGGGGATGACAGCACCATCTCCTAGGCATGAGGAGAGTGAGTGAAAAGGTTTGGGAGAGAACATTCATCAGCAGTGTGAGGAAGTGGGGCTACAGCTTGTCCCATGGGCAGGATAGAGGCCAGGAGGTAAGAAAGACAGCCTGGGACTTACAGCTTCACCTTCCTGTGGCCCAAAGACCGTAGGTACCTGTTCTAGGCCTGTGGGCAGGTTTGGGCCTAGTTGAGTCTGTCTGCTGAGGCTAGAGCCAGAGCAAGGGCATGTAGGGCCCTTGAGCCAGGACACTGGAGAGTACAGTGGAGTTGGGCACATGAGGTTCGAAGTTCAGGCTCCAGTATTCCTGAGCTGTGTATGACCTCAGGCAAGGTGCTTCCTCTGAGCCTAGATGGTGAGGTTCTTGACACCTCTCAGGCTGGCCATGAGGAATAAAAGTGGAGAGGGGGTGGGTGTAGTGGCTCTGCTCACCTAGCCCTGACCCTCCCTCACTCCCCTTCAGATGTGTGGTCAGCAGGCTGTGTACTGGCCGAGCTCCTCCTGGGTCAGCCCATCTTTCCTGGGGACAGTGGGGTAGACCAACTGGTGGAGATCATCAAGGTGAGGATGCGGCCAGGGTGGGCAGGGGGCAGGGCCGAGGAATAAGGGGCCTTGTCTCAGATCCTTCCCTGTCCCTGCAGGTGCTGGGAACACCAACCCGGGAACAGATCCGAGAGATGAACCCCAACTACACGGAGTTCAAGTTCCCCCAGATTAAAGCCCACCCCTGGACAAAGGTAGGTCTGGGGTAGGTGGCCCTGGGAGGCCCTCTGGTTTGGGGGCCTTGCTATGGAATCATGGCTTGGGAGGATTTGAACAGTTTTCAGAGAGTGGGTCAATAACTTTAATCAGATTTTAAAGTTTTTGAGGACCCACAAGTAAATTTAGGACTCCCGTTTTTGTGGCAAGGAGACAGGCTTCTAGCAGGGTCCATATGAGACAGTCATGGAACCCAGGCTGCCTGCTCACTGGATACAAACTGGCCTCCACAGTGGTTGCACCTCAGTTTCCGCATTTTGAAAGTGGGTTTGTGGGAGGCAGACAGTCATATTTGCAGTGGACACCATGGCAGAGTGAGGTACGGGGGTACACCAGTGCCGTCTCTCACCCTCGTGACCCCTTGTACTTCTTCCCCCAGGTGTTCAAATCTCGAACGCCACCCGAGGCCATCGCGCTCTGCTCTAGCCTGCTGGAGTACACACCGTCCTCAAGGCTCTCCCCGCTGGAAGCCTGCGCCCACAGCTTCTTTGATGAACTGCGATGTCCCGGAACCCAGCTCCCCAACAACCGCTCGCTTCCCCCGCTCTTCAATTTCAGTCCTGGCGGTGAGGGCGCAGCCTGGGATCCAAAGATTGTGGAGAAGAGCTTGGTGGTGAAGACAGGAGTGGGGAGCTGAGGGTGGGGTGCAAGGAAGGCCTGGGGCTCAGGGGAGATGTCCCCCAGTTTCAGGGAGAACTGAACCTGCTGTGACAGCGCTATCCTTTGTCTGCCTTGTGCTGGCCTTGTGTAAAGAGGTGTATGGCTAAGAAGGTTCACAAACAACTGGTCTTGCCAATAACTGCGTCCCCATCTGGGGCCCCTTCCTAACCCTGAGTCTCCAGATGCCTTATCCAGACGCCACCCTGACTGAGCATGTCCGTTCCTGTCTCTAGAACTCTCCATCCAACCATCTCTCAACGCCATTCTCATCCCTCCTCACTTGAGGTCCCCGGCGGGCTCTGCCACCCTCACCCCGTCCTCACAAGGTAAGTTGGAGGCCATCTGCTGAGGGTTTGTGGGGCTGTTCTCAGCCTGAGTGTCCTACAGGTATTTTTCAGTTTACATTTGGATGGCCTATACTATGTTTTATGTACACGTGAAATGTTTTCAACACGAGTACAGACATTGTATAACATACGAGTGACCACCTTTATCAGGAGTTATTGCCTCCGTGTGTCTTTAAGATGCAAACTGGAAAATCAAAGAAATGTGTTCGGCGTGCAGAGTTGGATTTGTTGTCCACATTTAAAAATTGAGGCTATTTCCTCTAAAAGATCTAGATTTCCTGTTTCTCGTGGGGAAGAAAATCAGGTTCGGCAACAATGGGCCTGCCTTTCCTTGTGACAGCAGTCAGCTGAAGCTGAGCTGCAGCTCCCCCTTCTATGGGGCCTGGCTCTCTGGTGTCATTCACTCAATTACCAACCCGGCTTTTTGACATTTGAGTTTGCAACCCTGAACCTAAAGCAGCAGCTTCCACTTTTTAACGTAGCATCTCACACCAAATTCTTACTCTTGGAGGGTCTGAAAGGCAAAGGCTAATTGTCTACCCTTTCCTCCCTCAGCTTTAGGTGAGCCTCGGCTGGGCTCAGACCGGCAGCCGCCCGATGCCACAGCTACCCTCACTAATTCTTCCTGAGGGCCCTACCAGCTACCCTTCCATCTAAGAGCCCCAAGGGGGGCTGGGACGGGGGGCCACAGCCCACCATGCTCTTGCCCTGGCTGGGCCCCTAGACTAGGGGGCAGAGATAAACGAGTCCCTGTCCTCACCTCCAGTCCCGCCCTCACCAGCTTCACCCCTGTGGTGGGCTTTTTAAGAAGATTTTAACTGGTTGTGGGGAGGGAAGAGAAGGAAGGACGGGGTTGGGGGCATGAGGACCTCTTATCCCCTCAGCCCCCTCGTCTCCACCTCCTCCAGCCCCCTTCCCTCCTGTGTACCTTGTAAATAGAACCAGACCAGCCCCTGCCTCCTCTGCCCTTCCCTGACCCCCAGGTGTAAATAGATTGTTATAATTTTTTCTTAAAGAAAACGTTGATTCACACCATCCCACCTGGCCCTTCCCCCTCCTCCAGCTGTGTCTCCCCTCCTGTCTTCGCCCCTAAGGTCTCCTCCCTCCTCTTCCCACCCCGGAGGGTCAGGGGAGTGGGCCTCCCTCCTCTCCCCACCCCGGAGGGTCAGGGGAGTGGGGAGAGCTCCTGATTGTCTTAGTTTCCACTGTAAGGTTTGCCTGTGTACAGACCTCCGTTCAATAAATTATTGGCATGAAAACCTGCTTCCTCTCTGACAGACAGCCTGTTTCTGCTGCGGTGAGTGGTGCCCAGGGGGCTGTCTGGGCTAGGGCGGGGGCTGCATCACAGGCAGGGGACAGGGTGCAGAGAAACCAGGCTGGACCAGCAAGAGGCCTGTCACAGCCCTGGCTCGGGCTCGGGCTCCACTTCCCTGCATCTGAGCTTTCTCCTCTGCACAGTGTGAGGAGGATGCTCTGGGTCAGGCTTAGGCTGCAGGAGGCTTGGAAGGAGCCTGCCCTGCAAATCTAGCATAAGTCACCTGCTTCCGCTGAGTGAGGGATTGTGGCCTCCAAGAAAAACGCATATCAGACAGCTCGAGGCCACAGTGGTAAGTAGCAGTCAAGATTTAATAAAGGGCTGTCCCAAAGCTCAAGCTGCCTGCCTCTGCAGGGGTCAGAGGGGACACGGGGCACTGAGGGTCACTCAGGCCCAACTTTGCCTGGCTGTAGACTCAATGGACATGGGCTGGGGGCAGAGGAGCTGTGTTCCCTAACCCTGCAGAACCCTAAGCCTTCATTTCCTTGCCTCACACAGGTAGCTTACCTGATCTACCTCTTAGGAATGTTGTAGGAACCCTGGGAAGGCTTGGACAGAGAGTTTGGTTTTGTCCCTTACTCTTAGAACACGTTGGGGCCAGATGGTGAGAGCCACTGGGCAGAGGGAACTGGTATTTGCTCCACATGGTGCCAAGCAATAGGCTAGGCGGCAGGCCCCAGAAGCGGCAGGGGGTCTGGAGAGGAGCAGACGTGTCCTTCACTGGATTCCACTTGTGAAGAAAAAGGGGAGCAGTGTTTCTAACGTGTAGCAGAGGTGTTCAGGGCCTGTTCCCTGTGAGGCCCCTGCATCCTCCAATGTGCTTACAGCAGTCCGGGGGTGTCTACGCTGCCCAGAACCATTGGATTTCAAAAATGAATGCCATATGCAAGCACAGTGGGGGACTGGTCCTGGTCAGGGGCGGGCCTCAGGCGCCTGCGGGACCCCTTCCTCTCACACCAAGTTGGTTATCAGGTCCTGCCACTTTAATCGCTGAGGGTGCCCTCACCCTCCTCCCATCCTCACCGGCCTCTGCCCCAGCTCTGGCCCTGTCCTCTCCTTCCTGGATCATCTCTGGCCTTCCACTGCCCCCACCCTGACCCCGGAGGGACCTAACACCCGGTTGAGACCCTGCTACCCCCACTCTAATCTCCTAGATTCCCACTGCCTCGAACTTCATAGCCCGGCGTTCAAGGCCTTCTACTCTCCGCTGCCTCCTCACCTCGCCTCCCTCCCAGACAACTCACAGCCCTGGCCACATTCTGCCTCACCTGCCTGAGCACCTTGGGCTCCAGGTGGCTTGGGAGGAACCTCCCCCATGAACCCAACATAATTATCTGCTTCTGCTCAGGGAGGAAGGGATTGTCATCCCCAGGCGACCTTTGATCCTTCGAGGCTCTGTGACGTCAGCTCACTGTTACCCCAGTTAGAATGAATCCTCCTCTGACCACCTGCCCCTGCACTGGTTTCAGGTCTCAATCACTCAGGACAATACCGGTTGCAAACATGGGCTTAAGGGGCTGCCTGGGTTCAAAGCTCAGCAATGCCTCTGCCTTGCTGTGAGACCCTGGGTTTCCTCATCTGTCCCTTAATGTGGATAATGCTGAGCTCTGCCTCACTGGCCTGTTGGGATCATAATACACATACAGTGCTAAGTACAGTGCCTGCCACAGATTGGCAGTCCACTGTCACACCCAAACCCATTGATGTCCAGTCCATTTCAACTCATACCGACCCTATGGGACGGAGTAGAACTGCCCCACAGGGTTTCCAAGGCGGTAATCTTTATGGAAGCAGACTGCCACATCTTTCTCCTGCGGAGCAGCTGGTGGGTTCGAACTGCCGATCTTTTGGTTAGCAGCTGAGTGCTTAACCACTGTGCCACCAGGGCTCCTTCCTAGCTGTGAATAACCGGATGGTCTCCAAATGTACCAGCAACTCCCCCTCGTGCAGTGCTGTCCTTTCCCTCTTCCACTAACAGAATCCTTTTTCTCCAAGGACTACTTCCTCTAGGAAGTCTTCTCCGACTCCTGACCTCCCATCAGTTTGCTTTCCTGCTCTGGGGCCCCACTGCCCCTGCACCTCCCCATCACAGCCCCAAGAATCCTGGGAGCTGAGATCTGTCGGCCCCTCAGGGCAGGACTCAGGCCTGACTGTCTCTGGCCCCCAGCACCACCCAGCACGAGGGCGGGCGGCCTTGGAACACATGGGTTGGATGAATAAATGAGACGAAATTGGAGACCAAGGCCATCTGTACTCGTGTGTGTTCCTCCCACCAGACCATGCATGCTTCCTGAAGGAAGAGCCATGTCTGCTCATTCCTGGGTCTCCAGCATCACCCAGTATGGAGCTGAGTCCCTGGGCCTATAGTTCTCTCTCCACATGGTCAAAACTGAGACTGAGGAACCCCAGAGAAGACAGGTGCTTCCCCCAACAGGCAGAGCCACGTCCTGGGCACCCGAAGTCCAGGGAAGGCTAGGGCCGGGGGGCAAGCAGAGGATCTGAAGAGGTATGTGAGGGTGCCCAACACAGACCTGGCACAGTTGGTCCTCAGTAAGTTACCTGATGTTGCCGGCCACCAGAGCGAAGCACACAAAGAGCCTTGGCAAACCCCGCTTTGCAGCTCGGCAGCATGACCCAGAGTAGATCACATCACGGGTCAGAGCTTCAGTTTCTCCTCAGGTAGAGCAAGGTGACAACAGAGGCCCGTTCTGAGGAGTCGGTGGGTCAGAGGCCAGGGTGGTCCCCGACACACAGTAGGTGCCAAATCAGCTTGCAGAGGGATGGCAAGCTTTCTCCCCAGAGGTACTCACACTCAACGTTGTGACCAAACCCTTTTATTGCTGCTCTTGAGCTGTGTCACACAAAAGTCGTGTCTAACTGCAGCAGCCCGCCCGCCTCACTGGCCCCCAGCGCAGCCTGGCACAGCTGCAGCGTGTCCTCAAGGGCCAGAGGCTGGGACGTCTCAATGATGGCGATGGTCTCCCCCAGCTCTGTGCACATGATGGTCTGCTGGGGCTCGGGGGCAGGGGGCGGTGATCTGGGGGGCTGAAGAGTGGCAGTCCGGGCTCGGGCATGGACCCGCTGATGCAGTCGCAGGCCAGCCATGGCGCGGAACCAGCGCCCGCAGGTCCCACAGTAGTGAGGGCTCTTGTTGTAGAGCCCGGCAATGGAGAGGCGGGGGGCGCGGGCGAAGGCGACCGGCCGCAGGTGCAGCCGCCGGTGCTGCTGCAGGTTGGAGCTCTGCGTGAAGCGCTTGCCACAGTCCAGACACTGGTAAGGACGCACGCCCGTGTGGGTCAGCTGGTGGCGGCTGAGGTTAGCCAAGGAAGCAAAGGTTTTGCCACACGAGTGGCACTGGAAGGGCCTCTCACCCGTGTGTGTCCGCAGGTGGTTGCGCACATGAACCAGCTTCTTGAAGCCCTTGCCGCAAACGCCGCAGCGGTGCCGCCGTTCAGGGGGCCCGTGCACCGCGCGGCGGTGCCGGGAGAGCCGGGAAGCCGAGGCAAAGGACTTGGAGCACTGTGGGCAGGGCAGCTGGGCAGGCGGGGCTGGAGGCGGCGCAGGAGGCGAAGGCTCCGCTGGAACTGGGGAGGCCGTGGCTGCTGCGTGGGGGGCGCCGCTCTTGCCGGCGTGGGTGCGCCGGTGGTAGAGGAACTTGGTCATGTTGCTGAAAGTCTTGCCACAGCGGCAGCGATGCAGCGGGTTGGCTGTGTGGGCCCGCCGGTGGGCCACCAGCGTGAGTTCTGTGCCAAAGCCGCGGCCGCAGTCCACACAGAGGTAGCGGGCTTCGCCGCGGTGCAGCTGCAGGTGCTGCTCTAGCGAGGCGGCTTTCTTGAAGACCTTGGAGCAGGCGGTGCACTCGTGGGTGCCGCCGACGTGGGCCCGCCCGTGAGCCAGCAGCCGGTTTGCCGAGCTGAAGCTGCGCTGGCACTGGCTGCAGCGGAAGGGGTGGGCCGCTGACGACGCTGGGCCACGAGACGCCCGTCGGTGCCGCGGGTGGGCCCCTGCTGAGGGCCAGTGCTGGGGACAGTCCCCACAGCCCTGGGCCCGGCTGGCTGTGGACTTGGCGCCTCCCACAGCACCGTCTCCAACCTCTGCTGCCTCCTCCTCATCCTCCGTCCCGTCTTCATCTTCTTCATCCTCCTCCTCTTCCAGCCCGTTGTGCTCTTCTTTCTCAAGGGAGTCGAAGTGGGTGCCCTGATGCTCCAAGAACTCCTCAGGGGTGGCACAGAGGGTCGAGCACTCAGGACACTCATAGGGCTCCATCTTGATTTCAGGTGGAGAAGGGGGAGGTGGTGGTGCTGGAGGCTCGGCAGCTGCTGCAGAAAGGTGCTGGGCCTTGCGATGAGCCACCCACAGCTCAGGCGAGGGGAACAGCTCCTGGCAGTCCCCACACTGGTACTGGATCTGGCTTGCAGACTCACGGAGGTGGGCGTCCTGGTGGGCCAGGAGCTCGCTGCGGGAGAGGATGAGCTGGCTGCACTCACCACACTGGAAGGGCCCATCCTCCGTGCCCGGCCCCAGGCCTGCGTCCTGGGTGGTCAGCACCTCCTCCTCTGTGACAGGGGGCACGTGCTGCTCCTGGTGGGAGAGGACCTCCTCTAGTGTGTTGTAGAGACTGCCACACTCTGAGCACATGAACTGGTGGTGCTGGAAGAAGAGGGATGAGGCAAGGGCCTCCCCAGGTGTCATCTCAGTCACCTCTGTTGATATCTCGGTCATCTCCCCTGACATCTGGGTCAACATCTCCGTCACCTCCCCTGACATCTGTGTCGACATCTCCACCACCTCTGGTGACACCTGTGTTGACACCTCGGCCACCTCCGCCATCTCTGCCACCACCTCCGCCATTGTGGGGAAGACAGTACCTGGAGAGAGAAGGGCAGGGGCTGGTGAGAGACTGGGAACGAGACGTTGGCAGGGGGGAAGCTCAAGAGTTCCTTTGCCCATCCCGTCACTTACCAGCCTCTATCGATCAGCAGCTCTGAACCCAATGCTTAGGCCTTGGTCTTTGATGATCCTGTCACTCTGAAGCCTACACGTGCCCAGTGGCAGCCGGGCATCTGCAGGAGAGACAGCACTCCTCAGTCTGGCCTCTGATGCTGCCGTCCATACCCAAAGCGCCAGTCACACCCTTTCTGAGAACACAGCATGCCTTTTCAGGCCCCCGGCCTCTGCCTGTGCATTTTCTCTTTGTGCCACACCTTTCCTCCTCCTCCTAGGTACACACACAGAGATGCAGCGTGGTGTTGAGGAGCACAGACCCTGGAACCAGACTACCTGCAGTTGAATCTGAGCTCTCCCACCTACTTCCTCTCTCTGATACTGTTTCCTCAACTGTAAATTGGGGCTAATAGCAGTACTGACCGCAAAGCCCCTGGTACTTGGTTAAGGTTAGTTATAACTATGATTGCAGTTCCCCAGAAACATTTTCAGACTCTAAGTCTTTGATGAGGCTATTCCTCCTGCCAGGAAAGTTCTCTCCTCTTTTTGTAGGGCAACTTCCACCCAGCATTTTCTCTAGGACGCCACCTCTGACAACATCTCTGTACCCTCAGGGGGTTGCCACTCCCTCCTCCTTGGGGTTCCTATGGTATCCTGCGCCACTTCTATTATGGCAAATATCATGGGATTGGGATGGTGTCTGTTGTGTTCCTCGGTGGACTGAGAGTTCACAGGCAGTGCTGGTCCCATTCATTGTGGGGGGTCGCTGTGACCAACATGACCACTGACTAGGGATAGCGATTTTAACTTTCAAACTTTCCTCTCTGAGTCCCTGCTGCCCTTCTACATGTGTGGGCTCAACCCAACCCAGATCCCTTTACACAGAAGGGGCTCAGGAGCCCTTCAGCAAATGCCTTCCCCTCTCCCAGGCCTGGGGGCTAATCTTCTGAATCCAATCCCAGCTTCTCCACCTCTTCCTCTGTTAGTGCCAGTGGGGAGATAGAGTCCAGCTTACAGCCCTGCACACGAGTCACTCATACTAAGTTCTCAGAGGGCAGGATTTGTCTGTTCATTGCTGATGTATTTCCAGTGCCAAGAACAATGCCTAGCACACAGTAGGCACTCAGTAAATATTTACTGAATGAATAATGCTCCCCCCAGAAAGTGTCCTGCAAGGCTCTGAAAGTTTAACTGTCCCTGTGCACATTCCACTTCTCCTACCAGACCTAATTCTTCCATTAGACTGTGAATTACAATCAGCAAAGGATACTGCTTTCAGCTGGTGCCTGATATAGGCCCTTTGAGTAAATGATTCACTAAAAGCCCAGGAGTTAAACTTCCCTTATTCATGATACTCCAACTCCCTCAAAATTTGTGAGTTGCCACCACCCTGCACACAACAGCCATTCAATACAGGATCTTCCTGGAAACAGCCAACTAGGGGCCTGAGAGTTCAGTTTTTCCTTGTTCACAGCTCCACTCCTAACAGAGAACTCCCCAAGGACCAGGCCCGGTGCCAGGTGTAGGGCTTGCACAAAATAGGCATCCTCTAGAAGGTGGCCCGAGAGGCCAGAAATTTGGAATTTCCTCGTCCACATCTCCCCCCCTTCCCAATCTTGGCTTGTGAACTACGGGGTGGCATGTGGGCTTTTCATACACTAAGTAGATCAATAAAAGTCCTTCCAAGAAAAACTCCACCAGGGGCCTAGAAGTTAAGCTTTCCCGCTACACACCCGTTTTCTCCTACCAGACTTATCTCCTTGGCAGCCAGAGAACTTCCGGCAGGCGGTGGGGGACAGAGCTCAAGAGTAGGTTCCTGCATACCACAGGCGCTCAACCAATGCTCAGGGCACGCAGGAAGGCGCGCTCTCCTTCCAACCCGCGTTGCTCCCAACATAGCGCAGGCCCCAAGGCTCTTCAACCCCCGGAGCCCACTTCGTGCCCCCTCCACTCCCTGTAAGCCCAGCGCTCTCTTCACCCGCCCGCCCCGCGACGCCCTCACCCGTCTCTCTTACCTCCTGCAGCCCCCGGCGCTCTGGACACGGACCCTCTACCCTAGGCGTGCGAGACCCCTCACTATCTAGACCTCCCATTGGGCGGCACCCTTAACCGTGGCGACCAATCAGAGTAAGCAGCGGAGGGCAAGCACCCTCGCGCCTGCGCGCTAACGCTCAGGCGGGGCTCAGCAAGTTCCTCCACGCACGCAACTGTACCCGGAGGGTCGGGGCTCCGGGAGCGGAGATGCGCCTGCGCAGTTCTCCCGGGCCGCTCCCTACCTGCCAAGTGTGAAAGTTACATGGACAAAAGTGGGCACTTTGGGAGTGCTAGGGCGCATGGAGTGGACTGGGCTGCGGGAGACCTTGACGGACATGTCATTTCACAGTTGGAGAGACTGAGATTTCCCAAGAGCACAGTTTTGGAGCCAGATACTCTTGGGATACTTCTTTCTCTGGCCTTCAGCTTTATTCGTCAGTAAAATGGGCTTGAATCACATCCACCTGCAAAGCTGTTGAGGGGTTGGAGGGGTTGAGATCACACACGTAAAATCGCTCAGCACAGGACCTGATACACCATGAGTGTATAACCCATCTAGTATGGACATAATCCCAATTTGTAAAATTGCTTTCTATTTTCTATTCAGTCGACTTAATAGTGGTCGCTGTTGGGCGCCGTGTGTCGAATAGGTCATCATTGCCATCCTTCTGTTTTACAGATGGGGAAACTGAGGCCGAGAGAGGGGAAGGGACTCTCCCAAGCTCACTGCTGCTGCCAAGGGAGAGCAAGCAGAGCAAGTGCCGGGACCCACGTCTCCCATCTCTCGGGGTTAGATGACTCCGAGGGTGGAAACCAGTCCGAGGAGGGGACTTGTCGTAAGGCACGTGCCGGCTTTGATCTTGAGTCACCTAAGTGAGGGGCGGTACGACCGCCACGCCCAGGGTCCCGCCGCTGGGGAGATGCGCAGACACTGGAGCCTCGACGCCGGCTCCCCCGACAGGAACCTGCTCCCGCCAGAGTGTGACTCGTAAGTGCAGGTTAGGGTGTGGGCGTCTAGGCGGCCCTGTGACCCTGGAGGGCGGAGATTGGAACGGGTTTAGGGGTTGTGATAGACGCCATATGGAGGGGCACAGTCGGGATGTAGGGGCCTGTTGTGATCCGGAAAGACGCATCGAGGGGAATTTCTGTTCCTAACATGAGATGGGGGTGTCCTGGTATCGATCAGGGGAAGGAAGTATGGGCGGAGAGTATCTGTTGGGTGGGAGGGGTTCGGGTCGCTATCATGAGAAGGCACAGTTGGGATGTAGGTTCGTGGTTGCCATTAGGAGTAGGGATAGTATAACAGAGGGGTGTCCTAGTACCGGTTATATGGGACCTGGGCGTTACTGGAGCCGAAACGATCGTGATTGTGGTCCTCTGCAATGGGCAGCTAGGGGCAGTGGTAATGTGGGCGTGTAGGCCGTGATCAGGAGGGGGCTGTAGTCCATGAGATGAGTATTCCCAACAGGTTACGTGGGGTGATACGGATCCGGCGGCTTAAGTTTTGGACAGGCAGTAGCGCCTTTGCCAACCCGTTCCCATGGAGTCGATTGCGACTCATAGCGACCCTATAGGACGGAGTAGATTTGAAGTGACGACCTTTTGGCTAGCAGTCGAGCTCTTAACCACTGCACCACCAGGGTTTTAGCGCCTTTGCAGCGGGGTACCAAATCCAGCCCAGTTGCGGCGCTGCTCTTGCTCCGCGCAGGCGTAACACAGGCAGGAGCAGACACTTCGGTTCGGGGCGGGGCGGAGGGCCGGCAGGGGCGGGGCTTGGAGGCCTCCCTCTGCGCTTGCGCCGAAGGGGCGTGGCGGTCGCACCTGCGCGAGTCGGGGAAGGAGGAGGGGTGAGGTGACGCAGGCGTAATAATAGAGAAGGTGCCAGAAAGATCCAAAACAAGTGGCTGCGGCTGTCTCCCGGGAGTCGTCGGAGGCCAGAGTCCGGTGAGGAGCTAAAGAGGCCTAAGGGCGATTGGTGGCCTGTAGAGGGAACCACCTGGGCTCCGGGGAGAGGCGGTACGGCCCTTACAGGGCGAGGGGTTCGGGGTCGGACAGTACCACTTGTGTGGAGGGCAGCAAACGGCTGCTTGGTCGGTCCCATTTGTAGGGGGCGGAGGGTCACTTTCGGACGGTACCACTTGAGTGAAGCCGTGGGGCACGGTCGGAGGGTACCACTCGACGGAGCCAAGGGGGCACATCCGGTCAGTACTACCCAGAGTCAAAGGGCAGTTGGTAGGGTGCCCCAGGAGGTCCCGAGGCGTGCCCGGGACGAATCACTCAGGGGTCTCCAGAGGCTGGTTGGGAACGTACCACCTGGAGAGTGGCGTCCGGGTTCATCCGGCCCTACCGGTCGGAGGAGGTGTGGGGTCCGGCGTTTCGACCTGTTACTAGGGGACGTCGGGCGATACCATTCCTTTTCGGGGAAGGGAGGAGGCCGAGCCGGTTGGGGTGTGGGGTGGCCCTGTCGGGCGGCGCGCGATGAAGGAGGCGTACTGGTCGGGGTGGGGTCCGGGCCCCGCGCCGCTGACCACCGCCGTCTCTCTCCCGCGTGGGTTCTAGGCCCGGGTTCCAAGCTTGTTCCCGCCGCCTCCCCCGGGTATGGCGCTGCCCGGGCCGACCCCGGCCCCGGGCTGGGAAGAGGATGAGTGTCTGGACTACTACGGGATGCTGTCGCTGCACCGCATGTTCGAGGTGGTGGGCGGGCAGCTGACTGAGTGCGAGCTGGAGCTGCTGGCTTTTCTGCTGGACGAGGCTCCTGGCGCTGCCGGCGGCCTGGCCCGCGCGCGCAGTGGCCTGGAGCTGCTGCTGGAGCTGGAGCGCCGCGGCCAGTGCGACGAGAGCGACCTGCGACTGCTGAGGCAACTCCTGCGCGTGCTGGCCCGCCACGACCTGCTGCCGCACCTGGCACGCAAGAGGCGCCGACCAGGTACGGCTGAACCGGAGGGTGAACCGGAGGGTGACAGACGGGCCTGCCTGCTTCCGCTTGCCCCGCCCCCGTCGGGTTCCCATGGTGCTCTGATACAGACAGTGCGGGATCAGACAACCTGTGTCCCATCTCACTCCCTTCTGCTCCCAGAGTACCAGCAGGACACACTAGAGGGAGGAGGTATGGTTCTGGAACAGGTGAGCTTGTGGAATTTGGCCACATCAGTAATAAGGATCATGGCCACTGCTTAAAAAAAAGAAAAAAAAAGAAATTCTTTACCACTGAGTGGATTGCGACCCTGTAGGACAGGGTAGAACTGCCCCATAGGAGCAACTGGTGGATTTGAAGTGCTTGGTTAGCAGCCATATCACTTAACCACTGTATCAGCGGGGCTTCTGACCATTGCTTATAGAGGGCTTATTTTATTCCAGATGTAGCAGAAAGCTTTCATGTGAATTATCATTTTATATTCTCTGAATAATCCCATGAAGAAGTCCTCTTGCTGTCTCCTTTCTACAGGGAAAGTAACAGGTTCAGCAAAGTAAGCAGCTTGCCCATCTATAAGAATTGAGCGCGCTCTGTGTGCCAGGCATTGGGGACACAGGGTGAGGGGCTGACAGACGAGGTGTTTGTTCCTTTAAGTTTACATGTAGTGGGGGAATCAGACAATAAAACAAATAAACAAGTAGTACATTTTTAGATAGGGTTACCAAAAGGTTGGTGGTTCATATCCATCAGAGGCACCTCAGAAGACAGGCCTGGCAGTCTGCTTCTGAAAGGTCACAGCCTTGAAAATTCTGTGGCGCAGTTCTACTCTGGAACACATGGGGTTGCCATGAGTTGGAATTGACTCGATGGTAAACAGCCACACGCAAAGACTAGAACAGAGTGATGGAAGAGAGTGAGCGGGGAGTGCAGCACAGTGAGGGGAGGCCACCTTAGATTGGGAGATTGGGTAGTAACCAGTGAAGGCCTTTCTGAGAAGCTGACATTTGAACTGAGGTTGCTCTGCTGGCTGTGCAGAAATCTAAGGGGAGAAAATTCTAGGCAGAGGGGAAGTGAGTGCTCAAGCCCTGAGGCAGGAATGTGGCAGAGGCAGAGAGGAAACTGAGAAGCCACATTAGTCGGGCTTGCAGGTAACATAGCTAGGACATGTGGGAGCCAGAATTCACACCTAGGCTGGCTGGCCTCCAGAGCTGATGCTCTTAACTCTTGTGAGGGGAGCACTCCTGAAGGACAGCAGTCCTGGGAGGGTGAGGAGGTGGGAGGTGCATGCACAGGTCTCACGAGCTAGTGAGCCCTTGCCTGGATTTTTGGAAGTGCCAGCTGGGTGAGGGGAACTATGAGTAAACCTCCGAGATTTGGAAAACCGGGAAAAGAGCAGCACTAGGGAAAGGCTCACATCGCTTTTTGGAGAAATGTGTCCGGGGTCAGGCGTAGAAGAGAAGATTCAGGGAGTCCACAGAGAGGCCTGCTTACTCTCTGGGGGGAGGTCTAGGGGGCAGCTGATTAGGGGCATGGGCTGTCACAGGGATCCTAACCATAACTTTGCCGACAGGGTAACTTTGACAGTTGAAGCTGCTGTAGAGATGGGTTGGGTGGCCCCAAGAGGTGATGAATGCTCTATCTCAGGAGGCATCTGAGGGAGGGCTGGTCAAGAAGTGTTTGAGAGGAAGTGCGTAGCCGAACTCTGACTTCTGTGGAACATAGACACCGAGTCAGGGCCGATTCTGGGAGCCGGGCTTGGGAGGAGAGGAGGCTGTGAGTGCTTCTTCCATTCTTGTCTTTTCCCTAGTGTCTCCAGAACGATACAGCTGCGGCACCTCCAGTTCTTCAAAGAGGGCAGAGGGCAGCTGCTGTCGTCGCCGCCACCAGTCAAACAGTTCTTCACATTCTCAGCAGGGCCAGTGGGAGACAGGTGAGCCCAGTGGCGTGGGCATGAGGGCAGTCCCTCTTCCCTCTGAACCCCAATGACCCTCCCTCCATCTGCATCCATCCTGGCCTATCAGGGAAGGGGGTCTCAGGAGTAGTTCTGCTTCATTTTCTATTTGTGCGCGCGCGCGCGCTTGCTCGCTCGGGTATGTGTATATTATTAGGGTAGAAGCATGTGTGCAGAAGCAACTCGGAACATTGTTTCTCATGGTTTTATACTTCATCGAAATGGCAGGTTGTGGGTATCATTCTGCACCCCCTGTTTTTGCTTAGCATGTTTCTGAGATTTATCCATGTTGATGTGAGTAGCTCTAACTGGTTTCTTTTAATTGTTGGGGCCAAGTAATTTATCCAATCCTCCCCCCAACCCCAAGTGTTTTAATGTAAAACTCTTAAATGTACAGAGAAATTGGAAGTTTGGTACAATGAACATGGTTATTATGTCTTCTGCCTAGATTCAACAGTTTTTAACATTTTGTCATTTATGCTTTACATATGTACGTATGTATGAGTACTTTTTGTTATTTGTTTTTTTGTCAAACTCTTTAAAAGTAAGTTGTAGATGTTAGGACACTTTATTCCTAAATCAGCCGCAGGCAACTGTTGAGAATCAGGGCATTCTCTTAGACTTTCACAAGACCATTATGTTACCTAAGAAAAGAAGTACTAATTGTCTAGTATCCTAATGGTACATTTTCAGATCTCCCCAAGAGTGTTTCAGTTTTCAGAATCCATTCATAGTTCGTGTATTGCACTCAGTTGTTATGTCTTCTTAACCTCTTAATATGGAACAAAACTTTCCTCCTCCAATACCTTTTTCTTTTTGTCCCCATGACCTCGACTTACTGATTCAACGAGCTGGTTCTGTGTCTGATTGTTCCCTAATGGTGTCCTTTAACTTGTTCCTCTGTCCCCGGTATTTCCTGTAAGTGGGTATTGGGTCTAGAGGCTTGATTAGATCTGTGTTACACATTGTGGCAGGAATACTCCACTGGAGGTGCATATTGGAGCACATCAGCAGCCATGTAAGATCTGGTTTTCCCACCGGGAGCAGGAAGGTTTGATCACTTGGTTAAGGTGGTGTCTGCCATATTTGTCCATTGAAAGTAACTTTCTTTCCATTAACAATTAGTAAATCTATGGGGTGATAACTTTGGCAAATCTTGTTTTGCAACAGCTGTTCACCCAGCGGGTTTAACATCTGTTGGTGATGCAGTTATTACTTTGGTATTTGGAAAATGCTGGCTTTCCTAATTCTTAATTCTTTTTCTATCTGTATTAGCTAGAATTCTTTCATGAGGAGTATTCGTTTTTTTCTATCATTTTGAGCATCACTATGGACTTGCATTTTCTTTGTTTACTATGCTGTAGTTTATTAGTCATTCTTTTTTATATTCAAATTGGCTACTTCTGGGTCTGTCATTCTTTGAGTGCTTCCTGTTTTGTGGCATTGCAAGATGTCCTGGGCTTGCCTTGTTATTTTCCCTTCCCCAGCCCTAGAATCAGCTGTTTCTCAAAGAACCTGGATTTCTTGTACAGGCTGAGATTTAGAGACCAAGATTTGGGTGCTGAGTGTGCACATGATTTCTAGATTCAGTGAAATAAAGGAACTTTGCTTTTTAAAAAGTTTATATTGATATTTTTAAGGCAAAATGAACATTTCAGGGACATTTTTCTCTTATTGCTGAAAATGTTGGTTTTTAATAACATTGATATGTAGATGTATTTGTCTCACAATAACAGCGCAGCTTCGAAACTGCAATTTCAATATCACAGTTGACGAGTGGTTCTTGTCCTCAGGGAGTATCCCACTGAGGTGAACGTCAGAATGTTTTTCTAAGTTACTTGAAAGAATTCTTTTCCCTTGTTACCGGTTATACCTACTTAGGTTCATTTGTTTCTCTTTGTGTTTAGTTTTAGGGTTTGTTTCTTTTTATTTTATTGTACTTCAGCTGAAGGCTTACAGAACAAATAGTTTTTCATGAAACAGTAGTACACATATTGTTTTATGACTTTGGTTCACACCCCACAACATGTCAACCCTCTCCCTTCTCGACCTTTTTTTTTTTTTGGTGAAAATATACATTTCCAAAGGTACACCATTTCAAAAAATTTCTACACTCACAGTTCAGTGACATCGACTACGGTCTTCCAATTGTGTTGCTATTCTCACTTTAGATGAAGGCTTACAGAACAAAATAGTTTTTTATTTAACAGTTAGTACACATGTTGCCTTATGACAATGGTTAATAACCTCACAACACATCAACACTATCCTTACTCAACCTTGGTTCCCTATCACCAGCTTTCCTGTCCCCTTCTGCCTTCTGGCCCTTGTCCCTGGACTGCTGTGCCTCATTAGTCCCATTTGGTTTCATGGGGCTGTCCACTCCCTGGCTGAACGGTGAACCTCGGAAATGACTTCACCACTGAGCTAAAAGGGTGTCTGGGGGCCATACTCTCGGGGTTTCTCCAGTCTCCTT